CAAGAATATGTTAACTTGCAGCATGTTAAACACATGCTGGACAAGTTAAGATGAATGTGGGGGAAAGTCTACAGTTAAACCTGATTTTTATCAAGAATATGTTAACTTGCAGCATGTTAAACACATGCTGGACAAGTTAAGATGAATGAGGGGGAAAGTCTACAGTTAAACCTGATTTTTATCAAGAATGTGTTAACTTGCAGCATGTTGAACACATGCTGGACAAGTTAAGATGGGTGTGGGGGAAAGTCTACAGTTAAACCTGATTTTTATCAAGATTGTGTTAACTTGCAGCATGTTGAACACATGCTGGACAAGTTAAGATGGGTGTGGGGGGAAGTCTACAGTTAAACCTGATTTTTATCAAGAATATGTTAACTTGCAGCATGTTGAAATACTCTCAAGTTGTTTGATTTTCAGTGTACATAATGTGTAGTACAGGTGGCTAACTCGTGTTCGTTTAAAACAAACCAATAACTACTACATAAATTGTTGTTCAAAAACAGTTACATGCATTGATCAGATTTAAAGGTAATAAAATTTAATGTCATTTAAAGTACAAATAAAAAGTAATCCATGTTTCAACTGGATTAGTGAATTCGTAGGTTATGGTTAGCTCCCGAAATGTTGGTCCAATATAGATACATTCAGGAGACAGATATAGGTCGTTGTTTCATTCACATTAATGGATATGTCTCCAGATGGCGTTGAACAACGTTAACGATAATATCACCAGTTCTTGTTTATAATGCACTGGTTGATCAGTTAGGTACCGTCCCTTAAAAATTTTAATTATACATTGAGTTTGGAGTTGAACAAAAAAAAACAAACTGTAATTAAATTAATGACTGAAGATCAATACCGATATATAGAACTGGGAATGAGGTTTACAAGGAACACTTAGTTAACTACGGTGTAACTGAGGGCGTACGTGTTTTCAAATGAGTGACATCACGTTGCTACAGGGATTGGTTTGGAACATCTTCAATTATTATTTTAAAAACTAAGATATTTAACTCCAACAAAAATAAACCAGAGTAACAAACGCTAAAGCCTGATTCATCTTTCTTTTATTATTTTACACTGGGTGAACATACGTTATAACAAAGTGACGGTTTTACTTACAGGCTCTAACTGCATTACAACGTAACGATCATCAGGTATGACACCTTTTGTAACAATACAGTCCATAACAAGAGATGCCTCTGGTCCAATTGCCTAAAGGAAAAAGTTGTGTATTTTATTCTCTCTACGGACTGGCAGAACGGTCAATTGTTTGTAATTCAGTTGTGTTAACTCTTACTTAGTAAACTTCACGAAATGCCAGTTATCTGAATTTGTTAAAATAAATACTTCCTAAAAATCTTACAAATTATGTCAAGTGTCCACATTATTTTATATCTAAATTTCAAACGTAGTCGATCTGGGAGCCACTTTATTAAATACACAACGAAACAAGTCCATATTTATATTTAACGTGATTTTTCTTCACTATTGTTTTCTTAGGCAAAAGCTAGACTAACAAAACTTTTAAACACAATATTACCAATCGGTAACGTGGTTTAAAGTAGCGCCATCTGCAAAATATAAAATCTTTCGGTTTCACTTTGTAATTCGAGAATAGCACAAATTATTTTTCTCCACAGCATTATATTTTGTCAAGTATAACAAGAAAATAACAGAAAACTGCTCTATTTATTAGTAATGTATCAATCATATACTTATTTTCCAAGCCAACTACATAAATGTTTCCAATCTTGACTACTTAAATATTCGAATCTGTTTAAAACCTTAGGTTTTAAAATATGTGTTGGTTAAATGGTTTTATATGTAGAGTTTTGTAAAGTACTTCCTTTGATCAGAATCAACTGAAATACACAGTAACATCATATAAATACACAGTAACATCATATAAAGGTATAGATACACAGTAACATCATATAAATACACAGTAACATCATATAAAGGTATAGATACACAGTAACATCATATAAATACAAAGTAACATCATGTAAAGGTATAAAGACACAGTAACATCATGTAAAGGTATAAAGACACAGTAACATCATGTAAAGGTATAAAGACACAGTAACATCATGTAAAGGTATAAAGACACAGTAACATCATGTAAAGGTATAAAGACACAGTAACATCATGTAAAGGTATACAGACACAGTAACATCATGTAAAGGTATAGATACACAGTAGCATCATGTAAAGGTATACAGACACTGCAACATCATGTAAAGGTATACAGACACAGTAACATCATGTAAAGGTATAGATACACAGTAACATCATGTAAAGGTATAGATACACAGTAACATCATGTAAAGGTATACAGACACAGTAACATCATTTAAAGGTATACAGACACAGTAACATCATGTAAAGGTATAAAGACACAGTAACATCATGTAAAGGTATACAGACACAGTAACATCATGTAAAGGTATAA